TCTTTCGATGGAGAGAGGGTCCACCTTCTTCTATTTCTACATCTAGGATTCGACTTGTATCATGGATACTAATAGGACCTAAATCACAATAGGCTTTTCTCTCATGCCTTTCTTCGTTCATGGTTCGATATTATCCCGAACTTGGTGGTTAAACTCTACTGCGGTGACGATACTGTAGGGGAGGTCCTGCGGGCGGTGGAAACTACCAAACTGGAGTACGGTAGGGGCAGAGGGAATTTCCGGTGGAGCGGTGAAATGCGTAGAGATCGGAAAGAACACCAACGGCGAAAGCACTCTGCTGGGCCGACACTGACACTGAGAGACGAAAGCTAGGGGAGCGAATGGGATTAGATACCCCAGTAAGCTTCATCATCGACAAGAAAACAACTCTGATCACCAGCTAAGGCCCCTAGATAATTACTCAATGATAAAAGAGGTAAGGTGCAAAGATATTCATAAGATTTGCCTAGAAACAATTTCCCTTGAAACGGTGCATACTAACTCACTGATCGAGCGCAACGAGGATGCTAAGAGTTTAAGAGTTTGATTATATTGTGATGAGAAGGAATTATAGTATTCAACTTAACAACAACAAGAAGACATTATCCAATTACACTTAATTAACCAATATATCATATTAAAAATACTAATCAACCCACCACAAACAAGGGATAGATGGTTATATATATATTTCATTTTAAGAAAATATTAACTGAATATTACCATCTTTATTCAAATGTATCAACAATTTTATTATGTTTTGTTCATCCTCAACCGGAGATTAAGATATGTTGATCTAGCTATTCAATGACAAGGATTATCTGATATATTTAATGGCTGTTGGGTGTTGGCACATGATCGATTCAGAACAATGTACAGATTGAATCTATGCAGAATACAAAATTTTTAAGCAAGAATTGGAGTAGGGAAGGTTTAGCTGGAATGCACAGTTCTCGAGTTCCATTTTTTTGGATCATCACTCCTCTAATTAACTTTTCAGTCTGTCTAATTTAAAAAAAAAAAAAAAAATCTAAGGAAAAAAGTTTGAGTTTGTCTTCCCAAGTGATGAATGGGGTGTGGATTCTTGTGCATGCATTAAGCTTGGGAGGTATGCATTTAGTCTTGGAACTGTATTTACCTTCTTTATTGTCCTTTTTATTTACTTATTAAAAGATAATTATATTTATATTTCAGGACAATTTTTAATTACTCTATCTATTTTTATTTTGCCTGCAACTCTTATGGATAATAATAATGCTACTTTGCCAGAAAATATGTGACATAATGGCTGACATAATAATGCTACTATGTAGCATAATTGTATGGATAAAGAGATTCATCTGAATTAAGCATCAAACCGACATGTCATAAAAATAATTAACTCAACTTTTCTTCTGTGATCTCAATTAGAAGAATACATTCTACTACATTTATTAAACGCTTTTAATTACATAAAATTATTAAACATCGATAATTGACGTTCGAAAACTTCAATCTTGAACATTCTCATTATCAATCATTATTGATTATCTATTAGGTTTTGAGAAATTAATCGGAAAGAGGAAAATAAAATGCAAACGGGTACCATATAATTATTAATGAAAATCGAGACCAAGAAGGAGCTAATGTATAGTAAGTACTTCATTAGAGATAATGCATAACATATATTCATCAATAGCTAATGATAGAAATGCCAATCCACATTGTATATTAATGCCACACAGTACTGAAACGCTTGCATAATATCACAGAATATTTGTATTAAGATTCATTATTGTTCTTCGTTTTCATTCCTAATTATCTGTTAATAATTTGTTAAGCTATTATGCTATTTTTTAATGCTCTTTTTGTATTAATTTTTAATATCATAGTCTCTTTGATGATAAGAATGCCAATTCAAGGGAAGAATATGAACGGGTCAGAATTGTGCAGCCTCATAATCCCTTCCTTCATTTCGATAAATAATTAATGTTTTGCATTACTTCAATGGGTACATATGTTTGGGAAATTTGTATTAAAATGCATTTTGAATTTTATAGCCTCAAGTTGGCGTTTTAGAGATACTACTTGTTATGAAAAAATATTGTCACAAGTTAAGAAACAAAATGAAAAATAAAAGGAAATAGAATGAAGAAAATACGTACTTAACGTGATTGGATAAAATTGTGTATAAGTGTTTCGCGCGGGTTATTCGCTAACAATTAAAAAGGATCAGACGATTGTGTAAGGGACAAACCTCTTGAGACAAAGTCCCAAAAAGGGGTGTTCTTTTATTGGCGATGACTTTACAATTGGAAATTAAAAGCAAAGTGCCTCCAAGGGGCGCAAGCACACGAGTTACTGAAAGAAAAGTGTTTAAGTCTAAACTAAGGAAATTAAAATTACATGTTCTCTGTTCGAGAATTTTTGATTCGGTCCTTTGCTCTATGTCTTTTCTCCCTTTTATATTTCATGGACGATCTCTTTGTGATCAACCGCTTAAAAACTGCTTGATCGTCCTATAACTGCCCACTTTCCTCGTAATGGCCAACTTGTCATGAAAACTGCCTTCTTTTAACTGCTGCCATTACTCTTCGTTTTCAACCGCTTTCGATTGAATTTCTTGAATCGTAGAACGTGATAGGGCTGCCTTAACAATTGCTTTGATAACTGCACTTTTTGATAACCACAACGCTTTATGTTTGTTAAGACCTTGGGCGACTTGAAGGTTTGGGCGAGAATAGAGTAACAGCTCTGGGCGACTGTATGGCATTCCATTCGCTCAGATTCTGGGCTACTTGCAAATTTGGGCGATGGCGTTACCGCGTTCTTGGGCCTCCCTATTTGGGCCTTCGTCTTGATTTGTTTGATTAGGCTTCGTTCTTTGGGCTATCTGATTTGGGGATCCTCCAATTGGGCTTTACTCCTTGAGCAGTTCGATTTGGGCTGAATTTTTATGTATCAACAATTACCCCCCAATATGGCAGAATTAATAACAATTATTAAATTTTGCCATATTCACTTTGTGTTTCCAAACATTCGAAATTTCCAAGAATTTCAATCATTGTTTTCTTCTATAACTTGAAAAGGTGCGTCGTTTTGCAAACCCTTATAACCCCCAAACACGCCATTCCACTGCACCATTAAATCACGCCTCAAATTTTTGCGTCTCTCTCACGATTTACTGTTCATCTTTTGCTTCCCTGCTACGTAACCCTGAAAAATTTCGTTCCTTCTCAAATGGCTACTTCACAATCTCAAGCTGACGACTCCTTTGGTTTTGATGACTTTCAGAAACTTCTAAGTCGTCCATACATAACTCCGAGTTTTCTCGCGCCCGTCGATGTCGAACATAATGAGTTCTACTTGGGTCCTTTCTTCAACAATGCGGAGGCAGTTGAACAGGCGGCGGTGGGTCAGCTGTTTCCTTGCACTCAAGGCCCTCCATTCCTAAACTCTCTATCGCTAGGGCCACTTCGCGAAAGAGGTATTCGCACTTGGCCTAAATCTGATGTAGCTTTCCGTAGGTGGCATGCTCGTCTTGTGGGTCATGGCCCTACTAAGGCACTTTTTGATAGCGCTAGGATTTCTGATTTGCTAGAAATCTCTATTCCCCCCCTACTTTTGATTCAGCACTCCTTTCGATTGCTTTGAGTTTTTGGTCTTCCGAGTATAATACATTTATTTTCCCTCTTGGCCCCATGTCTATTACCTTAAGGGATGTTGGAGCCCTGGTGAATCTACCACCTTTGGGCGATACCATTTTTCCTGGTATCTTGGTTTCTGGTGGCGCCCCAAAGTTTGGTAAAAACTACACCGATTCTTATTCAAGCCTGCAAACCCTTTACAATCATTCGAGCACTGAGCCTTTCCATACTGAGCGAGTGGCCTTCCTTCTAGTTTAACTTTGTAA